ATAGTTCAAAGAAAAGAAGCTGTAGCTAGGATTAGCTAGCTGTAGCTACGTTACATTTTTCTCAGTGTGTGTGTGTGTGTGTGTGTGTGTGTGTGTCTGTTAAAGTTTTCCGTATGACAGGTCTCGGACGCGTAGTCTCTTTTGCCACATTTTCGTTAACTTTCGCAGAAACCTTGTCATCAATAATCGAATATTCTCGTTGATTCCATTGGCTAGAGTGATTAGAAATGAAAATTTTACTCACTAATAGAAGCGCAATAGCCTTAATTTTATTTTAAGGCCTATTATACCATGTTGGTTTCTTTTCAAAAGATCCTAAAAGGATTCGGTGAATGTTGTTGTGGTCGTTTTACCGTATAAAGGTCTAAAAGCTACGAAATATTATAATTTCGCCATGGAAACAACTGCAATATTCACTGGACATTACCAAAATAGGCTTGCGTGATGGAAAGAGGCCGCTTTTGTGAGTATGATAAACTTGCCGTCAAAGCAGCAGTAGAAAAATATTTCTGAAGTTCAGTAAACATCTCTAAAAAGGCTTTCGCTATAGAAGAGGCTGACCTCTTTTTCGGCATGCCCACTTCCCCTGGGGCAAAATAGTGCACGGCGTACAATTTATTAAAAGAACCTAATATCTACATTGAAAACACTGCAATGAATTAACACCTCAACATAATCTTACTACAGCCGCACTTCCGTTGATTATCTCTAAATCGAGTAGCTCGTGTACGGCAAAATGCTAAAAATATATGTGCGATATAAATACAACCGTTTATATGCAATTTAGCAATTTTTCATTGATATAAACACTGTTTGTGTGTGTGTGTGTGTGTCATGCGACCTGGTACCCGGTATCTGGGCCAACATCGGTCTCTCTTATCGACTTGACACTTGAACCAGCGAAAAGATTGCTATCTCGAATCATCCACCTAGTTAAACAGCTAACGGGACCTTGTCAGTTCTGTGACCTTAGTGGTACCCATTCTTGCTTGTCTTCCATTATAATTTTATTTCTCGTTGAAGTGTTTGGCACCCAGCTCCCAGTGGAATCAGGTAGCTGTCGTGACGCAGCAACGAGTAGATCCTGGTACGCGCTGCTCAAGTAAAAAAAAACTTATTATGTGAACGATATAAAGTACATTTATGAAGGTACAAGTCAACCAAAAGTAGTTTTTCTGTAATTGGTGTAATTGCTATCGGCTTTTGTGTTTTTGTTTTGATGCACAATTATCATTTTTAGCCTCCTAATCGTAAACTTCAGCATCACTGGGCAAGAAATGGGGCTTCGGTCAACATATCCGTCGGTATCATCTGAATTTTGCACGTTTTTACACCAGAGAAAATAGGCAAAGCACACATTCAACGGGCGTTTAGTATAATCATTGTTTGTGTAATTGCTATAATAATCAAGAGAGCTAGTACAGAATAACTAAACTCTGAATTTTATGCAGTTCACGCGATTTTACCGATGGCAACGGTCATTTGAAAGAGTTCCTTAGAAGGGCTTTTTTTTTAATCATATAATAATTATCGAGATGTTGTATGATCACCCTTATCGTTCTGTTGGGCATCTTACACCTGTACTCTAAGCCCAAGCTACAGATATCTCATGGGCACAATCACGTACGATATCGCCACATCTAGCCATGTCGTTAAGCACTTTCTCTACTGATTCATGTCCAATCGTTCTTAAAATTGTCCTCCCATGGATTCCATACTAGCAGTGACCACTTAGCAAAACTCGCTGTAACGGTCGATCTCTCAATAATAACAAGTAGAATGGGATCCGAGGCGTTGGGAGATTACGTTAGAGAAACGTGTTATAGCTTCATTTATCGAGTTCACCGTTGATTTTTTTTATGACGTATACAAATATCTGTAATTGATGTTTTTTTTTTTCTCTAATAGTAAGCACCGTCTAAATAAATATGCTTCATCGCACATTGTCCTATCATGTGACCTGTTTTGCTATTGATGCAATGCGGGACGGATAGATGGACTAGACGGACGATTGCGTCTGCCTTTAGGCGTCATTGCTATAGTAAAAGCACTGCCCGCTCCTCCACTAGTTCTTTGCCTGCGATTGTTCGCTCGACCCGAACTGAGAACGATTCGAGCCGTCGCACTGTCGTGTGTCTGGCTGCCTCGCGCAGGTCATGCACCCGCAGTTGAAGGAGCGTCGAAGGCAGCGGGCATAGGCGGTACGGTGGCATCAGATGACACAAGTGACGATGGCTACTCATTCTGCTTGATGAATAAGGCTACGCAATCGTGGCCGCTCGTGCCTTAACGCTACCTATCGGCTGAGATTGGGCTCCAGACATGTGCTATTATTGACAGACGGCGGAAACACGAAACCCGCAGATTGCAGCAGGCCAAGAAGGCGGAAATAGGCGGAACCGCTGAAAGTGAAAAGGCAACTAACGGGGTAGATGCTCCACCTTGCATAGCTCGAAAGATTTAATTATAGAGAAAAAGCAAAGCTTGTCGACAAAGAATCTCTTTGAGAAATTTTTGTGATAACGGCTACGATCTTCTAATCCTTAATTGTAACTGGAATTGATAAAGGAAGTTGCAACAGAAAGTTGATTGAGATGACTTCAGGTAACTGGCTGATTCATAGAGGCCGTCTGTATAGCTATCAAAGATTAAAAAAAGACAAAAACATCACCCCGCAAACCCTTGATTACAACTAAATGGAAACTCAATGGTGTCAACTATGGCTTGGTTAGACAGTAGCGGGGACAGTTTGTTTTGTTACTTCACCTGTTGTGCCAATTTCTATTTTTCGTTTAATATGCAGGCTGTCAGGCAGTACGTCAGATGGCTGGCTCTTTCCAGCACGGCATGAAAGAAGAACTGTGCAGGGGGCCCGAACCTAGACCGCCATTTGCTCCAAAACACAGGAGCCACTATGTGATTAAGTTTACCTAGCATATATATATATATATATATATATATATATATATGGGATGGAGCGGTTTTTAGTTCAACAGTTTTAAAGCTATTGTCTGAAACTGTGCTATTCTAGCGGGATTGTGATGTCTCGCTGATACACATAGCCAACATTTCAGTAACATGCATAAGTTGATCTAACTAGACCATTTTGATTGCAATGGGCCAAAGGCATCTAAAACGTCTCGAGAGACATTACCACGTTGGAGATTTGAGGAAGGGCCGGTTAAACTAGTTAGGCGCTTCTCTGGTACCGTCTCAAGTAGCATCCAGTAGCCTGGAAACTCTGTTGTTTGTTCATCCACCTCAGGAATAAAACGCAATATATTGTAGTAAAACAATCATTAAGTACCGACTGCTAAGTGCAACAATTCGTAAATCGCTTAATATATTTGGGAATTACGCCCCGCACGAATTTTTTTTTTTTTCGTAGGCTTAAAGCCTACGAAAACAAAAGCCTGTCGTAGAGTTCACATCATCTTCCCTAAGGCCTACCTGTGCAACAATCTAATAAAATAGCGAACAGCCATCCACCGGCAGCTGGCATTGATTTTCGCTCGGAAAAACATTAGGACACATCTATACACATGTTGATGATTTCTTACTTGTTTAGATTACACGTGACGGAATGAATTACTGCATCTCGTTTAATCTAAAGACGAGTGCCGAGAACAAACGTGCTTGCTTGTTGTGGGACTTTTACGGCAGGGAATACGTAACGTGACGTAGCAGTGACAAAGGCTGATTTATTACGCTCTCGTTCGGATCGTCCATTATAGCTTTTTATATTCTCGCACAATATTCTTTTTGTTAAACCGCTCTTGCGGTGGGGAGAACGACCCGGGGGTCAATCCCTTTTGTGTGTATTCGTAGTCTACTTAAAACTGATCTAGCTTGAAAATATGATCACTTCTTCCCCATTTCATCACAGTGCGCTTTCGGCTTTCGAGGTCAACCACATTTCCGTCTCAACTCCTTATCAAGCTCGTCTCGAACACAAAGTAGATTTATTTGTCTCTGCCTTGTTCCCGCAATGGAAACCATTTTGGTACGACAATTTTGCGAGTTCTCATTTCAAGGCCGATACGAATTCTACCAGAACTGAATTCTAACCGAAACACGCGATGCAGCAACGACAAATTGACAAGTCCGATGATCACGTTTGCGGATCATTTATACCCCGGGTGAAGTTCCGACTCTCCTCCCTTTCGCCGAGCCATGAATGACAACATGAGGCCGAATACACGATTGTGTTTACATTGTTAGAAGTAACAACAGTAATAACGATTGCATCTGATATCTACGTGTTTAGGGATCAGCTGTCGATACAGACTAACAGCATGCACAGCTGAAGGTCAGAATTACTTCCGTGGGCATCATTGTGCCTTCGATGTAGCTGTACGGTAAGCTATGCGTCAAACACGAGCAATGGAGCTCACATCCTATTAAAAAATTGGTGAAGATCATAAGTTGTTTTAAAGTGGTAACGGAGGCGTACTTCAGGACTGCGAGCTCCGCCTAATCGTGCATAGTCAGCTATCATCCATATCATCGTTGTTGGAAATAACTTTTAGAAGCATATGCCTGTTGCTCGATACATCCACAGGCGGAATGAGCGAAGTAGTGATGTCGTTAAGTTGAAGTCCGCATTTACTTTAATACACGCTGAGCTACAATGCAGACACGGGTTGATATACAATACTCATTATACAATTATCGTATCTAGGCGACACACTCCTGTCAATGGAGGTGAGCCGATGTAACGTTTGACTGAAGCGGGAACAGTTTTGAACCAAGGAAGGAAATAGCACTTCCTTCCACATCAATTACTTGTAGATTCGCTCCCCTGTCTATCGAAAGTAAGAGAAGTGCAATGATCAAACATTTGTTTGATCTCAATATGTACTGGAGGGTGCTTTTGTGTATGTCGTGACTGTTGTTCTATGCGATGCGTGTTACTCTTATGTTGAAAATATCCTTCATATATTGTAGTTGACTTGGTAATATTCGTGTCGTCAATATCGTCGCCTTCGTTTGGGTTACAGGCGTGCGCTTGAAGTCTGGAAGAAGTACGTAGGCTCAACTCAGACCACCACGAGTGACTGTCAAACTATTAATCTGCTCTTTCGGGGAATGGAGGTGATCCCGTTACAAGCGCAGTTGCACGAAATGCTCCAGCTTAGCCGTAAGACTCGTCGCCACACCGATACCTACCTCAGCTATGGCGTCTTCTCGTTCTACGTTGCGGAAATGAAGTACTCGGAAAAGATGTAAGTTTAGTGATAAGCGTAATGCTAATTAGGGGAATGATTGACGCGCATTCGATGTGTATTTATCGCTGCTATGTGGATAAGACGCGTGAATCTGGATGTCGCGGATCAGAGCTATCGAATCAGAAAATGCAACTTCGGAATGGGTACGTTTAGATCATTCGTGCTGTGTTTATGTTGGGAGATAATAAAAAAGCAGAAAAACTAGTTTCATGATTTGGTGGAGGATCAATCTTGCATTACTTTCTCAGAAATCAGGGATTTTATAAAGATTAATATTAGTCAATGGTGAATGTTATGCGTAGCCGAAACATGATGTGTCTGGAACAATGGAGAATATTAACTTTATTCGGACGTTCAAGCTAGAACCAGTCGCGAATGCAGATCAAGTACTGTTTGAAAAATTTAGTACAGCTTTATTATGAAATTCAATCGGAGAATTGACTACCTAGAAACGTTTCTTCTGAGACCTAGTGTCTATGACGGCATGCTACACTGCACTGCAGGCGTTTTGGGCATTCAGGGTTTCCGATGTCGTCTTACAAAAAACCTTGTACCTTTTGTGCCTTAAGCACTCGCAAAATCGGCCCGGAAAGAATCCAGTAGCCGAAGACAGGTTACATTTCTATTGCTTGTCGATTGCAACATGACTTCCCGTGTTGCAAGTGACCCCACGAAGCGAGCATACAGGCCAAACTATCTTTTAGTTAATTCAATTGCACTTGTGTATAAAAAGCTCTTGCATGTGAAAATGTGCAACAACCTTGATGTAGTTCATACTGTATCCAATGTAGAGAAAGACGTTCTTGGTTTCTTGCTGAACTCTTAATGGTCCTCGTTACAGATAAGTTTTCTAGACTTGACTAGATGGTATTGCTGGTCGTTACGAGTTCGAAACTTTGATGTTATCGAAGGAAAGACCTTGCTAAGCTTGCCGTTCAATCACGTTTTAGTAAGCTTTCCCACGAATCGCCCACAGCATGGATGTTTCGCTTTGTTTACGCAGCCTCGTGTCGCTGCACTGTTCCTTGGTTTTTTTAAGGGACCTCTTAAATTTATAATGGGATTACTAAACGTTTGTACCCAATACGGCAATAATAAGTAACTAGACACGATTTAAGTAAAGGTTGGTGAAAATCGTGTTTCGCCCTTTGAGTGATATATTATTGAAAACGACGGGTATTGCCCGATATGGTCTTGATACATGTTCGACAAACGAATGTCACTTAGTTTCATCCTATATTTTCGAAATAATGCTATTTTATTTCATCTTTTCTCGCAGTTCGTCTACCTGAATTGCTAACCATATCAGTTCATTAGAAATTCACTATCAAAAGTTTCAACTTTTATTCAAAAAACGTGATTTGAAACAAAGCAGCCCACCTATGGAGGATCTAGAATAACGGAAATCTGGTGTCTATTAAAGACCAATTTCAGCAAAATTTCTGTCTGTGAACCGCTGCTTCGAAAATCGAGATACGACCGGTTTCTTGGGAAAAATACAGCGCGCACAGCATACTACCCGGTACACTCAGTTTATGAATTACTATTAACTTATCACAAAATATGTACACTATTTTCATTCATAGGTTCGTGAGCTATGTGAATGAGTAAACCTGACCTATCAACGCGGTTTGTTGACACCACAGCCTACTTTTTCTCTTCCCCTCCGTCTTTTGTATTCTATTATAGTTCGCAGATGTTGCGCCTGACCTGAAGGTCTTTGATCTCATACCGATTTCATCATCAACATCGTAGGTCCTATCGTAAAGGGTTACTCCGGTACAAGACACAACACGCTTGAAAAACCCGACGTTGCATTCTTATTCGACCTAATATAGTAGCGTTGATTGTAATACGCGCCTCGAAAATGGGCCAACTCAATCGGTATGAGAAAATTCGAAGATTATTCAGGGGATTAGCACTCGTCTTTAGACAACTCAATAGTATCGAAAGTCATAGTGTGATGACTGAGCGTAGAGGTAACTTTTTTGCAAGGATAAATTTCGCTCAAATAAAAAGGAACGAACATAAATGATGATAAAGGGGTCATTTTAATGATGATTATAATTAAACCCCCTGAATAGATACAGAGCGAACGGCGTCTTCGGCGTATGTTGTCCACTACATCGTGCCGTTTCGTATGTGTATCGATTGCAGAACCCGCTGCAACCCTTGTCGCAAAATTTCGTGCGGTTCCCCGTCGCTTCGTAAGGCGTGCCGGTCGTCTTCTCAACATTCCTATTATGACGGTAAGGTTCCTCAAAGCGTCCGTGTTCTATTACAAGCAACTAACTCTTTTAGCTGTTTGTAGGAGGAGACAAAAAGTACCTTGAAATGGCTCTATTCTATTAGATGTTCCAGCCGTTTGAGAACAGTGTGACATGGTTGCCAGGTGTTGTCTTTCATCAAGCAATGCTGCATAACAGAACTCTTCGAAGCTTCGCTCAGATTTGGCATACGGCTGCAGTTGCTACAGGTAATACTATATTCGAACTTAATAGAAAAATGACCGAGCCATACTGTAAGCAAAGCAAAGTTCGCCGGTTAAGAGATCACTAGTGGGAGACTTTGAAGCAGCGAAGCAGGCAGTCAAAAAAGGAATATACACTCCATATAAATAGTACGATTAAAGAAAAAAAGTTGGGGAAGGTGCGTCAGCGCATGTCACTATATAGGTCCGCTCAACTAGCTCGATAAATTCAATGCGAGAAATGCTTTGTGAACCGTTCTATTTGTTGATAGAGCTGGCTCTCATAGAAAGCATTGTTACTGATAAAGGCTCTACGAAGGTAGTGTTCTCACATAAACCCTCACCTGTAAATAATTATCGAACCATGCGACTTATCACACAATAGACCCAACTAGTTAATCAGCTAGCGACCATTTTAAATGAAAAAAACATATGATAGTTATCCATATGCGGGTCCGAGTTATCGTGTCACAGCTCTGAAGGGTATTCCGTCTACACCGCTGCCACCCTGTACAAGGCTAAGGAGTAACATAACTGGAATGAGTTGCTATCCTATCTTTATTTTAGGGCTTATAATCTCGAAATCAGCTTGCTAGATTCCATGATCACTTCGAAATTTACGTAGTCTAGTACTGCTGTTAGGTATTTTCTCAGACAGCTGGGCCCCAACAACATTTTCTTTGCCTGGCTTCAAACTTGTGTTCACCTACCATAGGTGATGGCCTAAGTTTGAAGCCAGTTACCACTGCGCGGCCAAGGAGATAGCAGCCAGCTGTAACAACCTATCAAATCTATTGATTAAATACGCTTTTGTTGCCTGTGTATTCTACCTGCTTCACAGCAAACTTTGATTGTTTAGAAAGCTAGTGATCGTTTTAGCATTATTAAGAACACAGATATCAAGCATAAGAGTTGTCTGTTAATAAATTGGCAAAAACGCGATACTGACGTTGTTTACGGCTTGTCAAAATGTAATCCTAACAATACTGCAAGAAATCACGGTACTGAATGTGAAATCAGAGCGGTAGCAGAATGAAGTATTAACTTACCTATTACTAATTTTATCAACGGTCCACGCAGATCGTTATCTATTAGATTAGTTGCCACCCACCGGATTCTCGTAAGTGTTATTTTTTTAACCCTGTTTACCTTCAGTGTGGACCAGTCCGTTCAGGTCAATCGTTGGCATCGTTCCTACTTTTGAATTGATGCTCACGGGTTAATCAAGACATCCTTCACTCAATTGATTCCCTATGAACTTCACACTGGATTCGTAAATAATCTCGCAATTAGAGCCTTGAAGAAAAGGTGTAGGACAGGCTGGCGATGGAGAATCCAACAGAAATTGAGCAGAAAAATCGAAAGGCTTGGCCAGACCGATCGGCCCATTGGGTGAAATTTTAGATAATTGATACATATAAAAAACCAGGTGAAGTTGCAATAGATGTTTTCGAAAGTCAGCGCCAAGCATGGCCTTATACGAGCATAAGGATCCTATCGAGTTGGCTTTTACTTATAGCAAGTTCGTCGACAGGACACGTTATTACACTGGCCTACCAGGCTAACAGGGCAAATGAGGTGACCAAACGAGGAGATTATAGATTTCAAGTTGATCGTGATACCATTATTGGTTGGGGTCGTGATAGCGATAATAACTGGAGCAGTGTCATCATGACGATGATTCGCAAACGTTCCATTAGGTAAAGCTAATAATATATATATGGTGAACCGATAGGTTCACCAGCTTGTTAAACCTCTCTCATATGTACGTCGTGTAATTCTTAGTACAATGTATGTGGCCTTTGCAATCATATAACGACCTGATTACCGCAATCGTTAGCTTCGTTGATCTTTTTCGTTTTCCTATTTATCATTATGTTCAACGCACCGTCACGAAAAAAGGCCAATCTAAGCAGTTCTTACCCTATGTCCCGACTGATGCGTATAGACAGCAAAGTTGTCCAATTAATGACCCAAAACTAATCATGAAAGGAACATTGAAAATTACTCGTCTTTTTCTATCCATTACGAGGATTTTCAATTCTAGTAACGTTTAGTTCGCTGGATAGTATGGGATAACGTTAGCTCGCCATATGATTGTCGTTTTCGAACCACTGACGTTGTGTTCTGCCTCAGCCGATAGCAAAACTTCGGCCCTTGACAACGGCCTATTCTATTGTTTGCAGCACATTACCCGCTAATAGTTATGCCAGTACTAACAATGTATATACTTACGTGGAGAGATCCAAAGATCGCCTTTATTCAGTGGCGAAGACGTGTTTACCTTGCCAATCTGTGGCGCTAGCTTTAGTGCGAAGCGCTGTCAAATACAAAGGAAATAGCAAAATGCTGTTTTCTAGCTTTGATGTCTATTTCTGTCTGCTGCTACCTTTTCTGCCTGTTATTTTGCTTAGTGGGCACGTTGTCTGTCACAGGTACTCGTCGGAAGACTGTAACAAATATATACATACTAGAGATTAGTACACATGTTGTTGTTCTTCTTCGTGGTTTTTTTCTGCTATAGAGAATCTGTTAAGTCCCCCACCGTATTGCCCCACCCTAATGTACACAGTCCATTATAGATCACATATAGTTGCCCTGTCCGTAGACACATATTGGGTTGGACATATATTCCATAAACACATCGACTGCCAAGCTTTGGCACGACCATCAGCTGTCGACGACAAAAGATAATTTGATCTGTCTGTCAGCAATCAATTAAGGATCAGTGCTCGACCTGACATATCGCTTATTATCATGTTTACTCGGTATTACTGCACATGGTGCTATTACAAAATGCTTCTATTCTGCACATCGTCTTTCTATTACTTAGTATTTTATGTGAATAGGTTATAGAATTAGCGTTTGCAACGGCGAATAATAGTGACGTCTGCACGTCAGTGTATCAACAGCAAAGGCTTGAGCGTACAATTTCTTCTCAGTCGCAGCTGGCTTTTGCTGGTAGATGACGGTCGAGTATGACGACGTTACGTAGTGTTTTAGAAAAGCTGAATAGTAACAACAAGTTATTCCGCGAGAAGAAGACAAACCTTCTTTGATAGTACAGGAAGTTCGCCTAATTCAGTTACACTGATCAACAGTCGTTGAATGAAGTGTATCTTGAAGAGGTAGTTCTTGTGTCGCCAAAAACCACCGGCTTATCGTTGATAAGTGTGCCTCCTAGCTTACAATACGATTAAACTAACACCTCGCAACCGAGTACGCATTACTAACTAGGGAACAAGCTCACCACACAGTTCCTCGTTTGAGAATGAAGAGCCGTCTCCTGTCCCAGCACGCTGGCATGACATAGAAGAGCAGTTCGCAGCACAATCGGAGTTAGCCCATGTGTCCATCGGCTATAACGTCTGCCGACCTGTGTGTAGTTTTCGTTTGCCTGTTAAAAGCTGCTTGTAGACATGCTTCTTCTGCCGTGGGTTTTTCTGCCGCGTTGAGCGTCTTTAGCTTTTGGCGCGGTTGTCGTTGGCGGCAATCGTGATTCTCTCGTGATACCTTCTTCCATCCGTTTTCATCTCCTTGGCTTTATTAATGTTAGGGCAGTCATCTTCGCTCCTAATCTACCGTTTGGTCGTTGGCTAGCTGGCTGATAAACATGAAGGAGACACAATTTGACAATTTTCTTCGTCGTTGTTGTTCTACGAGCGCTGTGGCTGTGGCCGCCGTTGTCGGTCTTGATTTTGGTGCTCCCGCCGACGTAGGGTTACTGTTGAAGGTAATGCTGCTGACGCCGATGAATCTGTCGCGGTCGTGATAGCGAACTTCGTAGGATGTCGCTGCAAGCGAACAAGTCGGCATCGTTTCTCCAGCCAAGAAGCAGCATTCAGCGAAACTAGTTCAAATTAATCCGAAAGCTGGACCACAGCGTCGCTCGGCCGGATGCTTTGTATGGGCGCACTTTTTTCCCCGTCACAATTAACAACAACGGCGACAGCGACGCTAAAAACAAAGTGCAATCGAAAGCCAAACCACGTCATCGTGTACCGTGTATCTAAGCGCCCTGTCCACCAGTCGATTTACTTATCTAGGCAATGCAAATTCTGGAACTGTCTTCGGCGTCATTGATGTCGGATCGATCGCATCGCGGCAGTGACATGCCGTTGTCACAGACAAACTTCTTGGCGACGGACTGTCGTCTTAGGGACGTTTTTTGGAACCGTTAACAACAGTTCTGTCGACCTTTCGATCAATGGCGCGTTAATGGCTGCCAACCATTTTTACATGCGTATTGAACACGCATATAGCGAATACTCAGAGCCAACTCATCTCGTGTGCTCGGAAAAAATGTCAGTCCCGTTGACACTGTAGCAAAGATGTCTATAGCAACATGGCTTGTCTAACTTCATCCATTGAATTTGGGAAGAATTGTCACCTCGAGCTTGTCTGCAAGCATTGCGATTTACGAAAAAGCGTCAAAAGTAGGATGCAGACATTTTTTACTCAGAAATCGTTTCTGTTTTCTGGAAAAAAATCCAATACAGCTATTTGAAACCCAAGTGAAGTACGTTGAGAGACTTCAAGCTTAAGTCCTACTTGCCCTCAAGTGTATTTCTTATGATATGGTTCTGGACTTATTTTCACATTTTGAAGTCACATTGAAAATGTTCAGTAATTATACCGTTAGGTCTACGAGGAGTTTACGAATGGTCCAATTGATCGGTGCATAGATATTTCAAGGGTATCCCATTGCGCGGTTGGGTTCGGACAGCAAAGTTCTTTCTGCGACGTATGTTTTTTTCCCATTAGCAGGATGAGCCTGGGTCAACTCGTAACATGGACCAGTCGGTACCGTGTCAAACCCGGAAAGTTACCCTGTGTTGAATTATTGGTAGGCTCTCTTGCCTACGCTGGAAATGCCGGACATCACTGCCTCCTTCCGTGCGGAAAATCCATAAAATAATTCTTATTTTTCGATAGCTTGAATTGCTTGTACGATACACGAGCCAGATAACGCATGAATCAGAATTAATGTACACTCCAATTCCAGCCGGAAACAACACTAGGAGCGAGCACATGCTACTATAGCTACTGTTTTATCAAGTGAACGTCTGCATAGACGCTGAAAACTACTTTACGACATAATGCGGTGACTTGTTCGAAAAAGCCATCTACTTTTTTAAGGTATTTTGTGGAAGGAGGTATAACGCAGAAAGCTTTCGGTTTCGAACACAGCTTCCAAGTTACACACCTGAACCTATTTTAAAAAATACGTTGTAACTACTAGACAACCTCAAACATCAGTGGGTATTTTGTCAACGGCTCCCTTTTTTGGCCATGTTTATCGAACGGGCTGGCAGCTCTAACGGTGCACTACAAAACGACCCTGCGCTCATTATAACCGTGTTATGTAGAAATACTTTCTCCCAAGAAACTCCAGTTAGACAATTGGATGTCGTAGGGCTTTTGTTGCTCGTTTCGGTAACTTCGCAACCGATAGAACATTGCGTTTCTCGCCGCGCTCTAGCCCATTGAATCCATTGGGAGTGGGAAATGGATTAAATGACGGTCGATAAAAATCGCCGGCGGTGGATCAATAGTTTGAGCTAACCAAAACCTCCGAATACAACCACTGGGTTCATTGAGCTTCATACATCGGCCAGTTATACATCTCTGATTCATCGCAAACATTCTAAACCGGTATTGTGATTCCTAGGCAAAACAAACGAGAAGTGAACTATTCCTCCTGCTTTCCTGGTAAGATGACTGAATTTTCTTTTACTCAACGCCATAGAGCAAGCATATTGGCATGCCTATCAGTATTATTGTATAACTTCCTTTTTAAATACAAATGTCCAGCAAGTGACGAGTCCAGAGTCGTAACTAGTATCGTCCAAACCCCTTCGAAAGTTTACCAGAGAGAGAGAGAGAGAGAGAGAGAGAGAGAGAGAGAGAGAGAGAGAGAGAGGGGGGAAAACGGGCCTGCGAACTTCGGTGTTACTTGTAGTCAGAAAATGCGATAAACTTTTGAGGAAAGCCATTTAGTTCCACAATCGAAAGAGTTGCCAGCGCTCGCTAAAAGTATTATATACATGCAAGTCTATAACTGTATCCCGTTAAGTTCACGTTTACGGCGTAGACAGCAAATCTCGCCATTCTGTAGAGGCGCGTCTATGCTCTAAGCACACGCCTGCATCTGCTAGAGAATCGTAGTCGGTATAGATAGTACCATTTTTTGCGATTCAACCGTAAGCCTAGCCAACTTTAACAAGGGTCTCATAGTGGCGTATTAGCCAGTAACAGCGTATCACCCCGATGTTATTGGTCTTTACGGGAACGTAACGGAGACGGCGGTAAATGTGAACAAAGTTCATTGGTTTTAACATCGACAATACAGCGTTTTCGAGAGGTGGCTTGAGAGAAGATTACCGAGTGCGGCCTTTCACATAGTTGCCAATGTTAGTAATAAAAATTGCGTGTCGTAAATCAGAGCAGGTACAGCAAACAGAAAATAGCCTATACACCCTTTGAGCGATGATGCCGCTTTCGTAGTCAGCCTGTTTCACAGTGTTATGCACGATCGGCATCTTCTAGATATCTTCGCATGTGGTTCATGCATGTTGTATACATAACAAAGCCATTAGCTACCGTTATTTTCTGTCGCCTGGCTTGTGGTATTCCTCCATTTTGAAAAATTGCAAACCCGGCTAACTGTTGTTATATACTAAATAGAAATACCTCGTTTACTAACATACTCGATACGTCTGGTGATGCCCAAAATCACAACTACGTTTGTGGATAGTTTTTTTTTTTTACATGATTGCTATGTATTCACGTGGGTGCAGCTAAGCAGGTTCAATGTGCCACTCCTAATTTGTCGACATTAGATTTGCTTATGGTCGAATAGTATACACGTGTAAACTTTACTACCGCCATTTTATTTAGGGAACCAAAGAAGTTAGGTTGTTCGTTATAAGTTCATACAAGATCACCGGCGCTGGAAAATATTTTGACTAAGGCCGTTAAGGCTCAATCACTGCTCCTTGTCCATCACCCAGTGACTAATTCAATCACTCAGCGTTTCGAGGAGCTTGGAAAACGAATCTATGCGGTCCTATGTAACGGAAACAACTTAAAACATTTGTAAAATTTTACCGGCTAGGTTGGTAAGTAAGAGAATGAGACAGCGGCTTAAACAGACAAATCGCGAATACATCAAAAAGCCAATTCATGTTCCTCGATCTATCCACCAGCAGCGACAAAAATACATAAAGTTAGCAGTTTGTGGTGCGTGTTCTTCACCCTTTACATCTGTAGTGCAGCTCTGTATTGGTGTTTTACTTATGGATCATAACAACTAAACATTTGATAACACCAGGTATTATCGTATGGTAAATGCGTTCCTAGTTCCGCTGCAGCTCTTCTTAAGGAACGGGGCTCGACACAGGATCTGCTGTCCCACATGGAATTCGTCACATAAGCAGTACATATTGAAGACATTATCTTCCAACCGCCTCATATAATACCTCCACGTTGAATCGCCGATGATATTTGTCAGAAATCCGTTAGCTGGGTTAATTGATGAGCTATGTTATCCCAGTCATCAGTGTCGACCAGAGCCAGCAAGTGTATAGCATTACAATTGATTCGTTGAATATCAAAATGGAGCGGGCGAAGGAGCTCGATATGTATAGTGCCACAAATATATACATTTATGTGTAGACAACGACCACTAGGGACGAGTACATAGGGCATACTATGAGCGGCGACAGATTCTCTTCATTTCTCAGACAGAATATCGATATTTGACAATGTAGAATATTTGAGTTCCAGCGAATCAGAACCCAACGGCCGGACAGAGCAACAGACAGACAATAGACAAGCGGGAGTGCGGGTATCCTGGCGCAAAAACTAGGGAATGACAGGATGAAGCTACCAGCTAGTTGACTAACAACTGGATCGATGGACTCGGAAGACACGAGAATTGAAAATACCTTTTGTCGTCGCGGTTTCCGCCGATCGTCGGTGTAGACGGACGGACGCCTTCAGATTTCTTACTGATTTAAGTGATTTGTTGCCCGATGACAACAGCGAAACCAGTGCCGCGCAGCACTTAGCAACAATCGGATCCTATCACATATCTATCTATATTTTCCCCCTATGCGAGTGTCATAATTAAGCATGCAAATTATTTAAATATGAAAAACCTACTACTTAATAAGAGAGCTGCTGAAACCGTTCGGCCTGCTGTTGTGTTTGAAGGTTCTACTTTTTTTTTTAAAAAAGAAAAAAAACTTTAAAAAAAAGTTTACGGTGAAGCTCCCCACAACAGCTCTTTGTTGTTGTATGATATATATGAAGACTGATGAATCGGTCTGAATCGACCATATTAGAAGCTGATGATTTTCCACGCTAACGATGCTTGTTCAGATGATGCTGATGATTACAAAAGTGATTTGAGTTATCTTCATATATGTTCAGTGAAGGCAAAGCTAATTTCAGTTTCAGACTGTTCACCACTCAGCCATAGCCATACTTTTGTGAGAGAATACGATAAGCGGTACCAGAATTGACTAGAGCTTGCAAACAGTTGCACTTGGGTCGCATTGCATTCGCATAATGCAATACTCATTAATAATAATTGTTATGATCATCAAGTACGTCTTCAATGGTTGGATTTTCTACTAGTTACGACTGCGTATCATGCCTGTATTGGTCCTACTTTGTTACATTTCTTCCAATTCTATCTCTTGAACAGGGACGGCTATGACGATGATGAATGTAACAGTAATCTTCCACTACTTCCACACTGAGTGTTCTTACAATATTGGCTCAAGCGTTTGTAAGCCATTTTTCTAACATTTTAGAGGCAATCATACAAAGCATACCCTGTATAGGAAGTAGCATTAATTAAGATCCTTTAACAAAAAAAAAAACGAGCCAGAAAATCCATACAGTTGGCTAAATTTAAAATTGATCATTATCATTATGAAATGGAACTATGCGATTTGTCCACAAAAGAATATCTCGTCGACCGCAGTGAAAAAACACAATCTATAACTGGTTACCTTATCGCACTATCATAGCATTTGTTACGTGTACAATGCTAGCAGCGTGCTATAGGGGAGAAGGCTTTCACGAGAAGGTCGCTGCTATCACTTATGTTGTCATCGCTAAAAAGAATTAGACACCCGTTTGTCCGTTACCGATAACAGAGAAAATGCACCGAAATCTTTCTTGTTCTCTGCGTAGTTGGGGATGGGGCTGTCTAGCCGGTGCATATCAATCCGTATCTATTGCTATACGCAATTGACATATCTGCTATGTATTCGTTCCTGGTGGCAATGGAACCGGTATGCTGTTGGCTATTCCACAACTGGACTGGTGAGTGGTCGTAGCCGATGCTGCTTCGGCATGCACTGACGTAGCCTTTACGCAAACATTAAGGTTTAGCGCATGCGCTACAATGCGGCGCAACCCGTAATCAGGCGCGCAGACACTCTCAGGCAGAACAAGATAGCATTGGCGTGCCTAACATTCGCTGTAGCGGGAGAGGGAGAGAGAGAGAGAGAGACGGCATCGAAGCGAACGAGGAATGGCTGTGATTGCATAGGGGAGCTACAATCTACAGGATATTCTGCTTAATAAACGGCTAAATTAGCGCCTAATAATCTCGATTCGCTGCTGCTGCCACCGCCGCCGCCGCCGCCGCAGCAACGTTTACGTTCAGAGCTGAGACGATCAGAATGCTGCGATCCCTTATTCTATGACCATATTATGACCAGGATATTGCTGAATACACGGACAAATTTTTTTCTAGATGTCGAATCATTAAAACTTCACTAGATTGAAACACTCGTAGGCTAACTGGGGTTACGCTTGTGCACTGTAATATGAGGCTACTTTGAGACTGTTATTACAGGCTAAATATAGAAAATACTATTTAATGTGCTGCATGCCCATATATATATATGAGCACAAATAAAATATATCTACTTTATTGAAGTATGCTCATTGTCGCCTGTAAATACTTCGTATTATGTTTTCACGCAGGTTTCCTATAAATATCAGCAGACGCCGCCGAAAGGTTAGTATCGCGTGATTAGGAAATCGTTGCGATGGGCCCATTAAAACTCTTTGCTACTTCCCTACCTAGAAAAGAATTATTTTTGTGTAATCAGCATATGTTACATAAATGTGACTATTTTGTTTTTGTCAAGAAACACGTAGAAAAAATGTTCAACATTACATCGTTCCTACCGATTTTTGAGGAATCAACACTCTTGGATAACCCTACCCACAGTTGACGGGTTTCTTGCCGTCTACTACTGCTTGACGTGGCTGCGTAAAATATGGCGTTAAATCCACCTATGCATGATGAGCAAGACCGTACGGAACTACTAAATGTCTTCAACCCTTAATTTGATCTACTTCGAAACGATTGGCAATGGCAGTGCTGCCTGCCTAAGCGTTTGTTCATTCGAGGTTGTGCGATATGCATTGATTTCTTAACGAGACCTAACTTGGATCTGTATCGTACTCAGATATGTTATCGTACTGTAATACCAACCGGTTGTCTGTTACTGAAAATATCAGTGAGTATTTTCCTACTGAAAAAGGCGATTGATGGTTGTATCTGTGAAATGGCCGTTCTCTGAATTTACGAAAAAAATGACAGCATCTTTGACATCATGGCAAAGTATCAGCGGCGTTACCCCCCACTGGTCTGTAGTGTCATAGCGGAATTATCTACTCATATTTGAGCAACAGGTTGCCGATACGCGAAACACGAGGACAGCCAGGATATGCATAAGCATCCAGGTAAGCTGTTGCTGTTTAAATCCGTACAGGATTAAAATTGTTGTTATTGACTATTTTATCTTAAGGGTAATACGGCAGCCACTCAAAGAGGGCATGAAAACTAAGCGGCCTGCCAGAAGCTATCTATTACCGACAAGTTCTTGCTTTAGCCGCTGGCGTTTGTTTGCTACCGTTTGATGAATCGTATCCATTTATTGCATCTATTTCAATGGACACGACAAACGAGACTTTACTACATCAACGTATCGCGGGAATACCTGTGTAGGTTCGTAGGACACTAATTGCAGTTCTCTTTATTAGACGTTTCATCATGTACGTTCTCACAGTGAATTATTAGCTTGTTTTTTTTTTCAGATGCATGCGTTCGTTAACTTTGTGACGGACTCTTTCGTTTTGTGAAGTTCTCATGCGAGTCAGTTCAACCCCGTAGTCACTATTCATGTTCTCTATATTGATTCCACTGCTGTGAATGCAAACGGAAAGATAAATGAAAATGCGCTTCACCCGATCTTCGTCATACTTAAACACAACCATTTTTGTTGTCAGTAGCCTCGACAGCATCATTAATCATCTTCAACAGCCAGCAGATACCCTTTTACCTCCAAACGTGCAGTTACTTTTGCGCATTCGGATCTACGGCAAGTGGCCAAACCTTATAAACGTATTTCCTACTCATTTTCTTTTCTACAAGGTCCAGGTATATAATTTATCACCAAGGGCATTTATTTTGACTTTGGCTTCTTTAGTACCTCTGGTGAGCGACCCGATTAGCGACACTTATCTAGGTTAGTTTGTGTTTGGGGACGCTAGGGCGTAAGCACAAGCAATGCACGCAAGTGATTATTCAAAAAGTACTCATATGTGGTCATGAGCAAAGATCCGATACGCAGTTTCTGATCATGTTTCACAGTCACTGACATTTGACGAGCGAGAGAACGCTTGGGTAAGTCCTGCTCATTGAGAAAAACCGAAATCAAATGACGGTATCTTCGTAACAGATATATCTGTAATTCCGTCACATAAACAAAGAATAAATCCAATAGAATCCTTACTAATACAGAGTGATACGACATTTGTTACGGAGACACTGCGCGCTGCTTGAAAGCTATTAAAGCGCAACGAGATTTAAAATGAGATCTAAAGAAGCGTATTCAATGAAGAAGCGCGATGAAAGCGACGCCACTATATATATATATATATATATATATATATATCTATAATGCCTATTCTTTACTGTATCTCTTGTGTATTTCACATGTTTGCTTGTGCATTTCTTACCCAGATATTTTCATGTTTCCAGGTTGAAGCCTAACAGGTCTGGGCATCAAGTATAGTCGATAGTTTCTCGTCCATCATAAAATTCTTTTTTATCCAACTGCTAGACCTCCTATATAAACGAAGTTAAGATAACGTTACTAGATTCGGCCGAACCCCAATCTGTTATTTTGACATATGTCAATAAAACCAGTAGTCATGGTTACATAGTTCCTGTGTGCGTTCCTAGTATCATGTTAGTCTAGCCCAAAAGGTTTAACCTACATCGTATACAATGGAGTCTTCTTCTAGCTTCAAAATGCGTTGCAATTGAAGAAGTTAAGGAACACATCATTGAGCTCGTTGGGTCGACTTACTCCGTTATTATAACCCGTTCGTGGCCGTCCTAGCCTCACTTTGTTTGCGAATGAGTTCGTTCGAAAAAGTTCTTAGTCAATCGCCTTTGTTGATTAAGTGTCTGTCCAATTATTCCAGTGAAGTGTCTAAATATAAGTATACGCTGTAATTTCCCATTATCGCAAAGTGCAAACGCTTCTAAATATGTTATGCAACGCTTTGTTGGCCATTCTCAATTTGCAAACACAGGAGAAAAGGACGAAACATATTTAGCGCACCCTTTATAGCGTTATTACATAACACTGTAGGAACTATAGGGATGAATAATTCTGCTACAAATATATTGCACAGTGAAATTTGATTTATTTTGAAAAAAATTGTTGTTTCGTGAAAAAAAAATCAAGCCTCTCCAACTGTTAGACTATTCAAACTGTCAATAGATGCCATTCTGTATACATGATATTCAAGATATGACGTATTATAAT